AAGTATTATTCAGAATCTTCTGACATGAACCTCAGTTGAGAAGACCGAATTGGCTTATAGCAAGAAGTAAATCATTTTGGTGAAGTGAGGCCTACAAGCACGATTGTTTATCATTGGATGGTGAGAAAAAGTAGTTGTAGGGAAATATGTATGAAGTAGTAGTATGGAAATAAGTATGAAGTAGTAGTAAGATGCCACTACAGTGCACCATCCAGGCATCGTGCCAAGTATTGGGTCAATCGAAAACACCATCAGAGAGCACTGGATTGAGTGATCAGCAGAGGTTAGCCTCGAGCACGGGTACAGAAAGAGCCTGGGAGTCTTTTGTTCGCCAAGCAAGGCAGATGTGCTTCGGGTTCCAACGGTCGCTATTGCTTTCTCTGCTGACACATGATGGCCACATTCGAAAACATTAGTCACATGTGCTCTAAGTCATTTATTGAAAAATTAGCAGCCATGTTATACGCATGCTTTTCACTTTTATTCCAAGTTGAATTCGCCAACCTCTCGACCAGGCTTCTTGCATTGAGTTTGGAAAAGGTGATTCATGATTGGGTTAAGTTGGTGTTTGATGGAAAGTTGGCCAAGTTGCCGAGAGTCAGGATAGTCCTTTTAGGCTGTTTGTTCGTCTGTGGAGTCTGTAGACTTGCATTCAAGTAGACGACACTTGCATAATTGGGCGTAGATGAAAGCATAATGGGTCAAATTCGAGGAGGATGATTTGGCAGAAAAAGATAAAATTACATAAACAGAAAGTGTTTACACAAATTGAGCCCTCGAAATGAGGGAAATATGTGAAGGATGCCACCTGCTTGGAGACAGAATGGCAGTGGCTAATAAAGTGGTAATGAGACGAGTGTATTCATGACAATTCAGAGGAGTCAGGAGGCAAAGAACATTCTATCGGATCTGGCCTGTCGGTTGGATACTGTCGCCAGACTGGCTGAACTGACAATTGGATCGTCAGGTCCGGTCCAGGTTAGCCACTCGCGTAAATGCAAGTGGACATGAAGTACGGAGAGTGCGAGTTGAAAGTGATCATTTACAAACTGAATTGTTTTCACATCTCTTCTCCCAACCAGTCATTTTACGCATACTCACCGTGCCCTCAGAACCTCAGCCCAGAACTTTTGTGATTCTGTTGAGAAGAGGGATCAGTGACTCGGTTTCGCTGACTTGAATTGAGCAGTTCTGTGTGTCTGTGTTGAATGGAAACTGACACCGACGGACGGACCGACTGGCTCCGTAGCGTTTGCGGCTTCTGCCTCCTGTCGGCATCATTTGCCTCGTACCCTTGCTCCCTCACCTCCAGTCACAGACCGCCAACCCGAACGGCAACACGACCACTCCTTATCGCTTTCCGAGGCGACGTTGCAGCCGAGTTGGTCGGAGACTGTCTGGCCGAGGGCAGACTCAGCCACTTCTGTACCGAAGCGAAGAGAGGCTGTGCTGGCGAGAAAAGAAGTGACGCGTTCAGTCAAGGCGGCTAATCCAAATGTCTTCTTCCTTTTGCCGAAAAAGGTGAAACTAGGCGTCGCAGCAACCAGTTGTTGTGCCACTTTGTCTCCCATTGGCATGACAACAGCGTCGAGGTCGAACCGAACAGGGTCAATGGGGGTACTGTCGACGTGTGAAGTGTGACGTTTGCGTGTGCCCAAGACGAGCAGACTTGCCTGCAACGGCATTGCATGTTTCCGGCGGGCCAGAGGGTTGGAGGCGAGATGCATGTTTCTTCGAGGCGAGTATGCTCCGGAGCAATGAATGTACGCAACGCGCGGATGAAGACTTGCTTTCAAAGTCGCTAATTGACATTCCAAGTCATCGCGAAGTTGAACAGCGTCGTCGAGTGTACCTGCTTGCCTCATTCACATTTGCCAGAAGATCTCGACGAGTGGCTGCTGCGGATCCGAGCTGAAGGCGATCCGCTTCGCCTTCAACAGCTTGCAACTATCGTGGCTCCATGTTCGAATCCCGAAAAGGCGAGACAAGGACCGAGCTGTGCTCGAGTGTGTGCTGTGGCGTGGCCAGAAGGAAGACGCTTCTTTCGGATGAATTTGACGCTGGAATGAGAGGACGGAAGCACATGTTTGCTCGTCTTCCTTGCGCCAGTCTCAATGGGTGAGGATAAGAGGACGCAGAACAAACGACAAACTCACGACTTCATAAGAGCCAACTTGCAAGGAGTACGGACTGATGGGCCAGTTTTGCCACAATCTTATGAGTATCCCTCATGCGATATGTTATAGATCTTGCTCGAATTCCACAAACAATCACAATGCCATATATTGTCTCTGAACTATTTGCAGTCAAGCTCTTTCCATTCCCATTCTCCTCGTACCATCTCACCATTTGCGGACATCAACTCTCCCTCAGAGTACATTTGAAACCGCCGATACCAAAAGCGATATTCCACGAATCGCGGGCATTTTGTGCAGTTTTTTTGCATTGTTGATACAATTTGTAATATTTATTGTCCTCACCATCTTAAGTTGCTGTCATCCAACCGTGTCTTGATAGGCCTCCAGGTCTCTTGCTACCCTAATCGATAGTTGCTGACCTCTCTGTAGGTTGGTTTTCCGTTGCTCCAAGTTCATTTTAACAACCATTACTCTAGTGCCCGAAAATGAGTTATTTTTCTATCCGAGATGGCGCAAATTAGAACTTGTGAAGAGAGCAAATGAGATACAAGAGCATGGGAATTTTCAATTTACAGGCAGAATGAGGTCAACATTAGATTGTACCTTTGGGGGGAGAGACAAAGTAAGGTTGATGGCATTGCAAGGTCTAACCATATCCTCGCGGTAGAATCCAATTACTAGTGCCTCTTCACCTTATTCTACTAAAGGCGTCTTAATTTCTTATTCATAATGCACCAGTACAAGTGAATAAACTATACTTTTTCTCTTTCACGTATTCTAGCTCGATACTAAGCATAAAAAGCCTTTTGACGACCCCAAATATGATGTTTTTGATAGTTCTGGTAATGCATATGGCCATTGTTTCTGAGCGCTCAATTATCGTTGCAACTATGGCAGGGGAAGCCGGATAAAGTACGCTATTCCAATTCTCCGAAACAATACGGCAAACTTGCTTAAACAGGGTCATAACAATTGCATTTTTCTATAGACTTTATAAATTCATTCAGGGAGACATCAGTTCCTCCTTCCTATTTATTGCCGGCACGACTTGCGACAATTTTTCTCTTTCGTTGGCCCAAATTTATTTTACTTTTTCTCTCACTTTTCAATATGCATTCTTTTTCCTCAT